GACAGAAAGCAAAGCATAAAACAGAACCAATATTGTAATGAATTCAGTAAAGACTTTAAGAATGGTCCATATTAAAAAAAAATCTTAAAAAAAGAAGAAATGGGTTTTTCTTTTCATTCTTTCTTTCTTTCCTCCTTCCTTCCTTCTTTCCTTTATTTCTCTCTCTTTTTATTTCTTGTCTATTTTCAATTATTATTTTTAGCAAGTTCTTCCTCACTGAAGGGCATCTTGCACTGACCTCCAGCCTCTATCTCTACCCAAAGGCCTGGTTGGGAGTCAGTAAGTTCACATAGACCCTCATAGAATTCTATTAGGGTGAGCAAAGGTACACGAAGGAGCCAGCTGAACAGGACCAGCCCTGAGGGCCGATCTTCTGGGCTCCTGGAATCACCCATCATGGCTCCACTTCCTCATAAAGCAGTGACTGCAGCCATGCCAGGCATGCTGAAAGAGCGAATGGCCCCTTTAGCAAATTAGACAAAGGCGCCCTCCCTCAAGACTTTTGTTTAACATTTGCACATTTGCTGGAAACCTATGATTGTAAACATGTATATCTAGGGAGGTGCCTAAATGCATCCACTTCCTGCAATTGGCTAGTGCCCAACCGATACAGCCATACTGGTCAGGCCAAGTCACACAGTCCTGGTTCTACACTGGTTCTGCCATCTACCAGCTGAGTGACCTTGGGCAGGTCACTGGGCTCACGGAAGCTTGGTTTCTGATAGAATGGAGTCCATGTGGCCCCCTTGTCTAACTTGTTCACAGGTTTAAATGGGGAAACAAGAAAGAGCTGTTGCTTAAGACCCAGAGAGAGAGTTTTGCTTCTTGCAATAAGATGGAAATACTTAAAATCAGAAGCTGGGGCCTTGTCCTAGGGGGACTTGCAACCCCCACCCCCTGCCAGCCTCCCCACCAGACACGGGGGTTGTGGGAATCCTTTTAAGGCCTCATGTGCTTTCTTTTCACACTGGGGGATGAGCTGGGCTAGTCATTGAGGTTTGCCATCAGTTTCCTCTGCTCCTACTTTCTCAGTGACCAGTTCCTCCCCTAAACCCTACCCCTCTCATTGCTTTCCTATTATTTCTCCTATTCAATCTACTTTCAGAGAATGATTGGTAAGCCTCAATGATTCTCAATGGACATGAGTTTGAGCAAACTCTGGGAGATGGTGAAGGACAGGGAAGCCTGGTGTGCTGAAGTTCATGGGGTCACAAAGAGTCAGACATGACTTAGTGACTGAACAACAACAATGATTCTTTGGAAAAGTGAAATGAAGTCCCTCAGTCGTGTCCAACTCTTTGTGACCCCATGGACTGTAGCCTACCAGGCTCCTCCATCCACGGGATTTTCCAGGCAAGAGTACTGGAGTGGGTTGCCATTTCCTTCTCCAGGGGAATCTTCACAACCCAGGGGTCGAACCTGGTCTCCTGCATTGCAGGCAGATGCTTTACCCTCTAAGCCACCAGGGAAGTTGCTTGTAAATAATTTTAGGCCAAAAAGAAAAAAAAACCTGAATCTAATCAATGCATTTGGATCTCAGGAAGATATTTGGGAGCCAGTTCCTACATATAACGTGGAAATATCACCAAGAAGTTGACCATCTGTTCTACTTTTGAAAAATCTAGAATAAAGGAAATGACCTGGTGTCAGAACTTGCTGCCTCTGAACCCCTCTAGTGGTTCACCATGGAAAAGGCCACCATTCTCCTAGGATGGGGACTTGAAAGTTCTGCCAGCCCCATACTGGCTTCCAGCACCTGCCTCACTCTTTAAACAGTCATAGCAATGAGGTGAGATATTATTTGGGTTTCCTGGTCATCTTCTGATGTCTAGAGGGCAAGAACCTCTCTGTCTTTCAGATTGTTCAAGAGCCCAGGCCTCCAGGCCAACCTCAGTCTTTAGCAGGGGCAACTCTTTAGACTCAGTTTAGCCTCAGTTTTCTTATCTGTAAAATGAGATTAATGACATCTGGTATCTGCTGCTCATAAAATTGTTGTGAGGATCAAAAGAGACAGTAAAGGAGAAGAGGTGAAAACTGCATCCATAAATAAACGCTAAGGTAGTTCTGTATGCTGTCTAGCCACATGCAACTACTTAAATTTAAATTGATTAAAATTAAAAAAATTCAGTGCTTCAGTCACACTGGCTACATCTCAAGTGATCAGTAGCCACGTGTGGCTCATGGCTACCGTATTATAGAGCACAGATCTAGAACATTTCTATCATCACAGAAAGTTCTGTGGGACAGTTCTGCAGCCTAGAGAACTGAAAAACAAACTTCACATTCCCCACTTCTGCTCGGCCCTTGAAGGAGAAAGTTTTTGTGCAGCAGTCTGTAAGTCTAGGAAGACACCAGGATCACCCTGGGGGCCACAGTTCACTTTGGCATGGACTCGTTCATTTTGTGTGTGCGTGTGTCCCACACAAATACACAGTGCACACACAGAGAGAACCTGCTATGTCTCGGCCAAGCACGGTACTAAGCTCATCGTCCTACCAGGAGGAGGGCCTGGGTTGTGCAAATATGTTTCTGCCTCAGGGTCTCTGGATAAGAGGCTGTGAACAGTGCAAGGAAGTTTTATTCACCTGTCAACCTCCTGCCTCACAGACACGCAACTGAAGTGGCTCCTGTTGCCTCTGGGAAGATCTTCCTGCCCTCCCGACACACGGTCTGAGTCCTATTCCCTCCCGTAGTCCCCTGTTCTTCTCTTTTCATTGCACTTAGCAAATTGTATTGCAGCTGGCTGATTTGTTTCCTGTTAAAAGGTAAGCGCTCTGAGGTAGGAGCCAGATTTGTCTCATACTCTCTTGCATCTTCAGCCTCTCATACAGGGCTTGGACCATACATAGTAGATGCTCAGAACTGTTAATTAATGAGTGGTATTTATGGATGGGCGGATTTCCTGCTTTCCCCTGCATAAAGCCCTCAGTTATGGCTGCTGGAGATTCTCTTTATGCTGGGACACCAAATGCTTCTCAGGGCGAGGGCTAAAAAGGCAGCACATGCTGAGTGGGAAAAAGCACAAATTGATTTCTGTTTCTGGCAGTTCAGTTGACAAAAACAAAGTGCTGGATGAAATTTTTAAATTGTATTTAAAAAAAACTGCTAACTCACACAGAAACTTGTACACAAATGTTTATAGCTGCATTACTCATGGTAGCCCAAAGTGGAAATGACCCACATGTCTCACATTTGATGGTGAACAAAATTTAGTATATCTATACAGCAACATTATTCAGTAATTTAAATGAATGAAATATTAATATAAGGATGGTGAAACTTTATGGCAATATGCTCAGTAAAGGAGATTGGTCATAAATGCCATATTTTTGCATGATTTCATTTGTATAAAATATTCAGAATAGGTAAATCTATAGGGACAAAAAGTAGGGCACTGGTTGCCTCGGGCTGGGAAAAAGGAAGAGTTACTGCTAATGGGCACGGGCTTCCCTTTGGGATGACAGAAATGCTCTAAAATTAGAATGCTGCAATGGTGGCACAACTCTGTGAATATACTGAAAACATGGTTTCTCTGAGAATTCTATCAAAAGCTTAAAAAAGTAATTAATGCCAATTTTCCACAAACTCTTTCCACCCTCCCCCCACCAAAAACAGAACAGGAGGGAACACTTTCCAACTCATTCCATGAGGCCAATATTACCCTGATACCACAACCAGACAATGCCATTACAAAAAAGAAAACTACAGACTAATATTCACTGTGAATATAAAGCCAGAATCCTCAACAAAATAATAAAAAACTAATCCCAGCAACATATAAAAGGGATTATATATCATAATTAATTTATCCCAGGATGTAGTGAGGTGAAAGTCACTCACTTGTATCCGACTCTTTGCAACCCCACGGACTGAAGTCTGCCTCTTTCCATGAAATTCTCCAAGCAAGAATACAGGAGTGGGTAGCCATTCCCTTCTCTGGGATATAAGGTCGGTTCAAATTCCAAAAGCAATTAGTGTAATAAACCATATTAATAGAATAAAAGATAAAAAATCATCATCTTAATATATGGAGAAAAAGCATTTGACAAAATGCAGCACTCTTTCATGATAAAAACACAATAAAATAGGAATAGAAAGGAAAGTTTCTCAACCTGATAAGAGCAATTACCAAAAACCCACAGCTAACATCATACTTAATGGTGAAAGATTAAATACTTTTCCTTCAAGTTCAGGAACAAAACAAGGATGTCTGCTCTCATCTCATCACTTCTATTCAATGTTGTATTGGATGTTCTAGCCAGGGCAATCAGACAAGAAAAGGAAATAAAAGGCATCCAGGTTGAAAAGGAAAAAGTAAAATTTTTATTCACAGATAACATAATCATGTATACTGAACATCCGGAAGAGTTCACAGCAATAGCAGGAAAAAGAAAAGAATTAGAACCAATAAATAAGTTTATGAATATGCAGGATAGAAAATAAATATATGAAAAATCGGTCGTATTTCTATACACTAGCAATGAATAGCCTGAAAGTGAAATTAACAATGCAATTCCATTTATAAAGCATCCAAAAGATGAAAATATTTTGGAATAAATATAACAAGATTATTATAAGATTTGTACACTGAAAACTATAAAACACTCCTGAAAGAAATGAAAGCAAACCTGTGGAAAAACATACATGTTCAGGGAGCAGAATATTTAAACTAGTTAGGATGGCAATAGTTCCCATGCCAGGCTCCAGACTCCACGAGGACAGAAGCTCCTTTGTTCAGGATTTCGCCCTATCTATCTTTTAATCTATTGATTTGTATCCTTTAATATCCTTTGAGATAAATTGGTAATCTAGTAAGTTAACAGGTTTCCTGAGTTCTAGGAGCTACTCTAGGCTTCCCAGGTGATGCTAGTGGTAAAGAACTCACCTGCTAATGCAGGAGACATAAGAGACTGGGTTTGATCCCTGGGTCAGGAAGATTCCGTGCAGGAGGAAATGGCAACCCACTCTGGTATTCTTGCCCATGAACAGAGGAGATTGGTGGGCTACAGTCCTTGGGGTCACAAAGAGTCAGATATAACTGAAGCAACTTAGCACGCACACATGCATGAACTGCCCTACCAAACTAATAGAACTCAAAAACAGGGTTGTGGCAACTTCCAGTTTATAGCCAGTTGATGAGAAGCATAGGTAACAATCTGGACTTGTGACTCGCATCTAAAGTTCACTCCAGCAGATTAAACAAGCCTGTGAAAGCTCCAGTCTGTAGTTGGTTGCTTGGGCTTGCCACTGGCATCTTCAGTAGGTGGAGAGTGGGTGGCAGTCTCGTAGGAGGTGCAGCCTTTAGACTGGAATCTGAAACAGTCAGAATTGGGTTAAATTGTAGGACACCCAGCTGGTGTTTGGAGAATTGCTTGGTGGTGTATGAAAACCACCCTCACCGCCATCCCTCCGCCCCACCACCCCCATGCTGGATCTGGTCCCAGAACTTTTCATACATTTAGCACATTTCAGAAAGTCAGTTACAAGGCGGGCTCTGGGCCTTTATAAACCGGGTCTTTGCCGACACAGCAGAGCTCAAGCCCAGTGAAGCGGCTGCCCCTCTGCCCTCGGGGGCCTCCTCTCGCCTGGAGGGCGGCACGGTCGGTCCCTATGACAGGCACCCTCTTGGTAAGGTGATGTCATTAGTGGCTCAGGTGATGGTTATGGGGTCAAAGAGCCCTGGATTCAAATCTTGATTTTGATGTTCCCACAAACTTTGGGCATCTTCATCTCTGTTTCAGCTTCTGCCGTCTGGTTGGGGATAACATTTGTCTCCCAGGTTTGCTGCTGGCAACCTGAAGGCTGTTTACTCAGATAACCAACATCGAGCTCACAGCACAGGCCTGGTGCATATGAAGCAGTCAGCACACACCAGATATTCCCATTACTCATTTTGTTCCGTGGAGACGGCTCATCTGCTTGTAGGGCACGGGAAAGAGAGAAGAGGAGATTTTTCTCTGTGTTCTGATGACCCTGCAGCTATTCAGCAAGAGAATCCAGGCAGCCTCTTCCTGACTGCAGATTCCTTTTGAAAAATGGGTCTAAAATGGCCCCAGAGAGCCCCATGAATGTTAAGACTTAGCTTACCTGCACCACTCCTCAGGCCCTCCACATCCCAGGGGAGGTCAGTTCCCATCCACTGCTCAGCCTTTATGAATATTTTTAAAACTTTTCTTTGAACCTATCTATAGGATGGTGTCTTGAAGTGTCTTGCCCAGGTGACAAAGTTCTTTATTAACAGATCCAAAGGATAGTTAGGCCCATTGCATAACTCATCTTTCATGGTTCTCTTAATAATCCACCTATTTTTTAAAAACGGTGCTTCTTTTCTAAAGTCTCTCATGGCTCTGAAATGTGGATGCTTTCATTTCATTAACAATGGCTTCCTAGACCAAACGGTGCAAAATCTCAAAAAAGGCAGGGGCGTGGGGGGAGTCATTTATGCATTCCATGAACAGTGGGATTCTCATACTGATTTCCAATTCCCTCCTCTCTGGGGTTTCTGTGAGTTGACTGAATGTCAGTTAAGTGCTGAGAATTGTATTAGGTCTGGAGTGCAGCAAGGTGAGCCTGCAAGATGGAGCTTCTGATCCAGCAACGGCTTGAGACTGTTACATGAACAATTATGCTGCAGGGAGGGACGGCCTGAAAGAATGGGATGAGGGTGGGCGTTGCTCTGATGAGCTAGAAGAGGTGTTTACCCAGAGTCGGGATCAGCAGAGGTGTGGGCTACGGGCATGATGGCAGGCTGGATTCTTGGGAAGAGGATACTGAGATGGAGTTTGGGGTGTGGGATGTTGCATGGTGTCAACTCCTGGGAAAGGAAGGTGAGGAGTCAGGATGGGGCCAAGGAAGAAACTGAACTGCAATGTCGCCTCAGCAAGCCGTGGCTGGCTGGGTGGGGGGCTCTGGAGAGAAGGCAGACTGTCATGGGGTCCCTGGTGGGGCTGATACTGCTGGGCCTTCCCCCTCCCCAGCCCTCAGCAGCAGCTGGATGACAGCAGGAGCCTCCCTGAAGGCGGATCTGGGTCTGCCAGCCTCATGGCTGCCTGGGGAGGAGGCTTCCTAGAACAGGTAACATCTAAACCCTAGAACAGGTAACATCCAAACCAAAAGACGGGAAGGACAAACCCCGGGTACAAATGTGAGCTGGGCGGGCGGTGGGAGCAGGTGGAGAGAACGGCGTGTGTGGCCGTTCAGAAGAAGCGCAGGGGTCAGGAGCTGAGCCGGGCCAGGTGAGGCGGGAGGGGCGGCATGAAGGCAGGAGATGGCAAAGTGCGCAGGGCCTCGGGGGCCCCTCCCTGGGGTCTGAACTGCATCATAAGGGCCATGGAGGTGCGCTTACAGGGGAGTCTGCCCTGACCTCTGCTCCGAGGGTGGGCTGGCAGATGAGGCTGCGTGGGGCTCCCAGGCGTGAGGCCTGAGCCCCTGCTGGGAAAGGGAGGGGTTCCAGGGAAGGCCCCCGGAGAAGGGTGCTCCTGAGAAGGATGGCTCACTCCATCCGGTGCGGGGACCAGCTGTGGCTCCCTCTGAGGAGGAGACGGAGGCCTCCCGAGCCTTGGGAAGGCCTGGCGCCTTCCACCAGTGAAACTTTTGAGAGAGGTCCAGCTACTCCACACGGCTGCATTCACAGCCTGTATCCTCATCAATTTCCTCTTTCTCACATCATTTTGAAGCAAATTCCAGGCATTATGTAATTTAATCCATAAATATTTCAGGATATACCCCTAAAAGATAAGGATATTAAAAAAAATAATAAAACCATGGAAAACGGTATGGAGGTTCCTCCAAAGGGTAAAAATAGAGTTGCCATACGATCTGGAAATTCCACTCCTGGGCACATACCCAGACAAAACTATGATTGGAAAAGATACATGCTCCCCTGTGTTCATAGCAGCACTATTTACAAGACATGGAAACAACGTATAGCCATCAACAGAGGAATGGACAAAGAAGATGTGGTACAGATTAAAATGGAATATTACTTGGCCATAAAAAATGAAATACTGCCATTCACAGTAACATGGATGGACCTAGAGATTACCATACTAAGTGAAGAGTCAGAAAGAGAAAGAGAAATACTGTATGATATCTCTTATATGTGGAACCTAAAATACAACATAAATGAACACATGTAAGAAACAAACTCACAGATAGAGAACATGTGGTTGCCAAAGAGAAGGGTGGCGGGGGAGGGAAGGATTGGGAGTTTGGGATTAACAGATGCAAACTATTATATATAGGATGGATAAACAACAAGATCCTGCTGCATAACACAAGGAACTACGTTCAATATCCTGTGTTAAAAATCATAGTGGAAAAGAATGTGAAAAAGAATATATATGTATAACTGATACATATGTATATATGTATTTCTTGCTGTGTAGCAGAAATTAATACATTGTAAATCAATTATATTTTAATAAAATTTTCAAAAGAATAAAAAAATAAAACCACAGTACTAATGTCACCTAAAGAAACTTCAAGGTTCCTTGATATCGAATGAAATATCACACTTTCATTTGTCTCAGAATGTAATAGATGTTAATTTTTTACCACTGGGGTAAATCAGGATCCAAGCAAGGTCTACTCACTGTGTTTGGGTGATATGTTTTTAAGTCTCCTTTAATCTACACATTTCTCTGCCATCATTCTTCCTCTTCACAAAAACCAGCCCACTCCCATAATTTATATATATATATAAATTTATATATATATACACACACACCACATCTTCTTTATCCATTCCTCCTTCAGTGGGCAGTTAGGCTGCTTCCATGTTCTGGCTATTGTTAATAGTGCTGCAATGAACATGGGATACATGGATCTTTTTGAATTATGGTTTTCTCCAGTATTTTTTATTTTTCTAAGAAACTCTCATACTGTTCTTCATAGTGATGGTGCCAATGTACATTTCCACCAGCAGTGTAGGAGGGTTCCCTTTTCTCCACACCCTCTTCAGCATTTATTGTTTGTAGATTTTTTGATGATGCCCATTCTGACTTGTGTGAGGTGATATCTCATTGCAGTTTTGAGTTGCATTTCTCTATTAATTAGCAATGTTGAACATCTCTTCATGGGCCTATTCTGCCCTATTCTTGCCCCCACTAGCATGCTCTGAGCAGCTGTTTCCCTGTAACAGAGTGCTTATTACTAAAATGTTGAGAAGTGTTGCGTTTGTTACTGATTAGAGTTCACATTTTGTGGCAAATATGATCTATGTTCTAAGGAGGTTTACTTCTTTCTATGCCCTTTGCATAAAGCTCTTGATTTCTGCTCATGGTAGGATAATGGTTCCCCCTCAATGTGTGATTGTTCTCTTTCTTTGGGTCAGGAAGTGTAACTGTTCTAGACCAGATGAGCTTTGAGCTTAAACTAGATTCCCTCCGTGGGGAACCTGGCCAGGCCTGGGCAACCTTCCCACATGCAGCAGCCCCAGGCTGGTGCCGTGTAAGCCTTCCTCTTCAGCTGACGTTAAAGATAAGGACAGCTGTTCAGAAACACTGGGAGGACTGCCATGTGGTGAGGAACGTGTACTCACCCTGGGCCACTCCAGGCACGGTGGGCCGAGCATGGCCTAACAGAGAAACAGTCTTGGCTACGCGCTAAGGAGGAGTTTTTAGATAACCAGAACACCCCTGAAAGAGAAGGGGCTGGGGCTCCCCATCAGGAGAGGTGCTCCCAGGTTAGCCTGGGGCCACCTGTCAGGATGCCTGGATACATGACTCTGCCCTGGCTGGGGGCTGGCTTGGAGGACTTGAAAGTGAAGCCCTGCCCGTTGCTAAGGTTCCTGGGTTTCTACCATGTTTGTTTATGACTGAAGTCCCATTTGTGGGGGAGTTAGCTGGCTCCTGAGCCGATCACACCCATGACCTCAACCTCATTGATGTCTTTCACGTCATTCTCAGAATTGGCCTTCCCTGATCCTCTCTTCCCAGAGCCTCACTTCCTGGTCAGAGAGGTAGCACGCTAGGAATTCAGTCTAAGAGAGCACAGAGAAGGACAGGAATACACATTAATAACCCAGCCCCTACTGACAGTGTACAAAGTGCTTTCAGGCACACTGATTCACTGCATCCTCATTACAAACCCCGCGAAGTTGAGTGAGCAGTAATCACTATTCCCACATTACAGAGAAGGAAACTCAAATGGAGCAATGACTTGTCCAGTGTCACTTAGGTTGTACTTGGCAGGACCAAGCTTCCTTCTGCGAGTAAAAAGATGAGACAGAGCGCAGCCCAAGCTGGTCAAGGGCTTAAGTGTGGCGGTGATGCTCCCTGAGTATCTGCTAGGAGCTGGGTGCTGTTGGAGGG